CTACGTCAAGGCGCATCGCGGTTTCTACCACGACGCGATCTTTGTCAAGCGCAACAACTTCAACCTGCTGCTCCCGAAGACGTTCGGCGGCGGCTTCTCGCCCACCGCCGTTCTCAAGCTGCGCCGCCTCGCGCGCAAGGTCGCGCGCGGCAGCGTTGACCGCACGGCCTACTCGCCCAAGTACTCGCTCTCTTTTATGTCCCACGAGTCGGTCCGCGTGCCTCCTCGTGTCGCGCATCGTTCTCTCACCCATCCATAAACTCACTTTGGCCTCACTAAAGCGAAGTAGCGAAGCGTCTGAATCCTGAATCCTCAGATTTTAGATTAGGACGCTGTGGGCCCTCTACCCTCACAGATCACAGATCACAGAATACGACAACGCAGGGCGCGGTTGGCGGCTCATCGCTTGCGCGACATCGTCCTTTGCTTCGTCGCCGACGCCACCACCTTGTCCTCGACGCGCAACCCCTTTCGCCTGCGCACGCCGTCCATCAGCTTGCGTGCTAGATTGATGGTGGGCAAGTCTCCGTCGTCCAGCGCCTCCTGCTCCTCCTCGGTCGCCACCACAAAGAGCGGGTCCTGTGGCAGCGCCTCGTAGTGCGAAAAGACGAGCTGAGGGTGCGCGGCGCCCGATGTGTTCTTGCGCAAATCGTTCGCGAAGCCAAACGACTCGACCACCGGCAAGCTCGCCGAGATGAGGAAGAGGTCCGTGCCCTCACGCAAGTCCTCCGCCAGGATCTCGCCGCGCCGCTTCCGCAGCACGGCGTACATGCGGCCGAGGATCTCCTGGTCGCATTGGACCTCGCAGCGGTACACCGGCTCGAGCAGCCGCGTGCCGCAGCGCAGGAAAGCGGCGCGGCACGCCTCGCGCATCGCGGCAATGAGCTGGCCGGGCAGCGCACCAGCCTCGGCGGCGGGCTCGGCGGCGGCGGGCTCAGCGGGAGGGTCGGCACCGCCGCCGCCCCTGCCTGTGATGCCCCTGCCTGTGATGCCGCCGCCATCCCAACCGCCGCCGCCACCGCCGTCCGCCTCGTCGCTCCAGCGGACCTCCTCGACGAGAAAGACGGCGCCTAGTCGCGGCGACGCGGGTGGGGACGGGGCGCCGCCCGCCGCCTCGCGCGCGAGGGGAGGGGCCGACGCGCCGCTCGTCGGCTCGTCGCACAGGGGGCTAATCTCGGGTAATCTCGGGTAATCTCGGGTAATCTCGGGTAATCTCGGGTAATCTCGCGCCGCTCATCGGCTCGTCGCACAGCGGGCCCTTTGCCACGGCGAGCAGGAAGCCGGACACAAGCGACGTCGCCAACTGGCTGCCCGCCGTGCGCGCGAGCGGGCTCGTCGGCACCTCCATCGCCTCCGCGGCTTGCGCGCTGCAGACGAGGAGCGTGTCGAGAGGACCCGTCCCGAGCAGCCGCGCGCCGGCCCAGCCCGCGCCGCCGCCGCCTAATTGACCCTTAACCAACCCTTACTCAACCTTGCATTCGTGTACAGCCCAGCCCGCGACGCCGCCGCCGATGGCGCTGGCATCGAGCGCGTCGGAGACGTGGCGCAGCGCCGCGGCCTGCGCCGCAGGGAGGAGGTCGAGCGGCGGGAGGCAGCTGTGGCCGCCGCCGAGGCTCGCAGCGCCATCGCGCAGCGCCGCCGCCGCGGAGTCGGGAAGCCGCGCCGCTCGGACGGCGAGGGAGGCGTGCCTAATTCATTAGTCCTTCATAGCTCATCAGTGGTTCATGTTCATGTACGCCGCGCCGCTCGGACGGCGAGGGAGGGCGTGCCGGCCGGCGGTGGCGGCGGTGGCGCTGCCGTCCGCCTCTGGCGCCAGGCCCTCGCGGAAGGGGACGATGGGCGGCGAGATGGCGAGCTCGACCCCGGGCGCAAAGGTTGTGCGCAGGTCGTGGAGGCAGCGCTCGAGGTGCACCTCGCCGCACGCGCGCAGGACGAGCTCGCCGGTGGGGAGGGTCGCCTACGCGGCAGCGAGAGATGGGGAGAGATGGGGAGAGATGGGGAGAGGTGGGGAGGGTCGCCTACGCGGCAGCGAGAGATGGGGAGAGATGGGGAGAGATGGGGAGAGATGGTGAGAGATGGGGAGGGTCGCCTACGCGGCAGCGAGAGATGGGGAGAGATGGGGAGAGATGGGGAGAGATGGGGAGGGTCGCCTACGCGGCAGCGAGAGATGGGGAGAGATGGGGAGAGATGGGGAGAGATGGGGAGAGATGGGGAGGGTCGCCTACGCGGCAGCGAGAGATGGGGAGAGATGGGGAGAGATGGGGAGAGATGGGGAGGGTCGCCTACGCGGCAGCGAGAGATGGGGAGAGATGGGGAGAGATGGGGAGAGATGGGGAGGGTCGCCTACGCGGCAGCGAGAGATGGGGAGAGATGGGGAGAGATGGGGAGAGATGGGGAGGGTCGCCTACGCGGCAGCGAGAGATGGGGAGAGATGGGGAGAGATGGGGAGAGATGGGGAGGGTCGCCTACGCGGGCGGCGGCGGCGCGAGGAGGGGAGGGGTGTGTGGTGTGTGTCCTGCGCGGCGGCTACGGCGCGAGGAGGGAAGGGGGGGGTGATGTGTGTGTGCGCGCGCACGCGTGTGTGTGCGCGCGCAGCTCTCGTCAGTTGCGGGAGCTTCGCGCCTCGAGAGCGGTTCGGCGCGTCTCGGCGGCATTCTGAGGCATCTCTGCGGCATCTCTGCGGCATCTCTGCGGCATCTCTGCGGCATCTCTGCGGCATCTCTGCGGCATCTCTGCGGCATCTCTGCGGCATCTCTGCGGCATCTCTGCGGCATCGCGCCGTCTCGAGGGCGGGGTCCGAGTCGTCCAGCCGGCGGAGGCCCGCCTCGAGGGTCGGGAGCGAGCTGATGTCGGTCGGCTCGACAGCCACCTGCGGGCGAGGCCGGAAGGCGGCTCGGGCGAGGCTGCGGCGCGGGGGGGCGTCAGTTGGCTCGGGAAAGGCGAGCCGCCTGCACGGTCTCCCCATATCTCCCCATATCTCCCCGTATCTCCCCGTATATCCCCGTATCTCCCCACATCTCCCCACATCTCCCCACATCTCGAGCCTGCACGATGGGCGCCCCCGCGAGCCGCATCGGCTCAAACGGCGGGCAGTCCGGCTCGCTGGAGAGAGTGCCGCACCTGCGAGTCGGAATGCAGAGAGCTGAAGTCGGAGCCTCGGCGGAGTGCCCTCCCCCTAAGGTACCGTGTCCAGTACCCTACCCCAACATCACCCGAATCCAGTACGAGGGCTCGAACGCTGCGGCAGCAGCGAGAGTACGGCGGAAGAGAGGCGATGTGCGGGCTCGGGGTGCCTCGTGTCTCTTCTCTGCAGAAGGTGCACCCCCGCATCGAGGGCCGTCAGAGATGAGATCTGGGGAGACGTGGGGAGGTGTGGATCTGCACCTCCACCATCTACGGTGCCGCGCTTCCGCACCGCGCCAGCCAGCCCGCCAACCCCGATGATGGAGCCTGCAGACGCTTGCGGCGCGCTGACCAGCTCACGCCCCATCAGCAGATAGAGGCGCAAGCTGTCGATCGGCAGCACCACGCCGCCGCCGCCCTCGCCGCCGCCCTCGCCGCCCTCGCCGCCGCCGGCCGCCGCCGCAACCAGCCGCACCGTGCCCCCGCTGCCGGGGCGGAGAGTGCCTGAGAACAGGCGCGCGAAGCCGACAAACTCGTCCGCCTCGTGCGCGCCCGGCACGCCCACCGCGTACACCATCTTTGCGACGTAGAGCACCAGCGGCGCACTCTCCGACGCGTCGCACGCCTCGATCGCCGCGCGCACGCGGCCGGTGCGCGGCTGCGCGGCGAGCGACGGGCAGAGCGACGGCAGCCGCGCCGCCTGCGCGGCTCGCGAGGAGGGGAGGTGCGCAGCGACGGCGCCGAGGAGCGAGCGCGCCAGCGGCAGCCACGCGCTCATCACGGCGCGCACGGCGACCGCGCCGTCCGCGTGATTCAGCTGCTGCGGCGGCACCGACAGCCCGAGCGAGCCGATCATCTTGGCGAGCTGCGTGGCGTCTGAGCAAAGGGAGATGTGGGGAGATATGGCGAGATGTGGGGGGATGTGGGGAGATGCGGAGAGATGGGGCGGCGTGCGTGGGGTGGCCTCGCACTTGAGGACGCCACGCAGACATGGGGAGATATGGGGAGATGTGGGGAGATGGTGGGGTGGCCTCGCACCTGGCTCGAGCAGCGCCGCCGCGTAGACGCGCCAGACCGCCCCGAGGACAAACTCGGCGAACATTGGCTTGAGCCGGCCCGACGGGTCGCTCGAGACCACCCGCTTCGTCTTCGGCTGGTAAAAGTACTCCCCCCACAGGGTCCGCTGCAGCGTGCTCTCCTAACGACCAGCTCGTCAATAGTGAGTTGACACTCCTCCTTCCACAGGGTCCGCTGCAGCGTGCTCTCCTTGAGGCCGAGCTTGGCAGCGTACTGCCGCGCAAACGCGGCGAGGTCGAAGGCCCACCCGTGCGCCGCCGAAGCGAAGAGCACGTTGCCGCGCGTCGGCGAGAATTGGAGCTCGCGCACCCCCTTCTCCCCGCCGCCGCCGCCACTGCCGCCGCCGCCACTGCCGCCGCCGTCACCGCCGCCGTCACCGCCGCCGCCGCCGCCGCCATCGTCGCCGCCGCCGCTGTCACCACCAGTGGCCAACGCGGCGGCGGCGCCGCCCTCGGCGACGAGACGGTCCGCGGTGTAGAACTGGCCCGCGATGGCGTTGAGCTGGCCGAGAATCCGCTTGATGTGCCCCCACGCCTCGATGGGCGAGAGGCGCAGCTCCGCGACTAGCCGGTCCATCTTGTTGAGGACGAGGAGCGGGGTGACGCCCTCGTCCCACGCCTGCCGCAGCACGGCGGCGGTCTGCACGCACACGCCCTCCACCACGTCCACCACCAGCAGCGCGCCGTCGCTCAGCCGCACCGCCGAAGAGACCTCGGAGCAGAAGTCGACGTGGCCGGGCGAGTCGATCAGATTGACCCGCAGCGGGCTCGCCGCCTCTGCGCCGCCGCCCGCCGCCGCCACCTCCTCCGGCTGGTATACCAGCGCGATGGAGGACGCCTTCATCGTGATGCCGCGGTCCTGCTCGTCGTCGCGCGAGTCCATGTAGCGCAGCTGGCCGGCCAGGCGGCTCGAGATGATGCCATTGCTCGCGATGAGGCCGTCGGAGAGGCTAGTCTTGCCGTGGTCGACGTGAGCGAGGACACAGACGTTTCGCGAGTCAGGCCCGTTCATCTCGAGGCGTGCAGCGCCAGTGCGAGGCCTCCAGGGACCGACGCGAGTGCAGGCAGCGTCCGACGATGGCGTGAGGGTCGACGAGTACCCTGGACCGATTTACGCCCCGGCGGGGATGGATTTGCGGGTTACCCCGTGCCGCGAGACTTGGGCATGTATCTCCCGCGATGTGTCGCGGACAAACCCAAGTAGACGCCCCTTGGGCGGGTGTCGCGTCTTACTTACACAAGAGGAACTATAACACATCGCTAGTCATGCTTTCTGGGACAAAAGGGAGAGGGGGTTGTGTTCTCTAGGCCCCTAAGGGCCGCGCTGTGTGTCGACTGTATAGTCTGCGGGCTGCGCTGCGCTCGCGCGAAGCGACCGAGTTTTACGACGGGCGCGGGTTGTTGACTCTCTCCCTGTACCTGTGTTAGTGCCAGTGCGCGCCAGTCCCGTGCCCAGTGTTGTGCGAGGGAGCTTTGTTGTAAAACTCTCCCTGCTGCACAGCCAGTGTAGACCTGGCCTGCACTGTGACGCGCGCGCTCATTATCAACGGGGCGCTCGGCGATGAGACATGCGCGCGGCGAGTGATTACGAGCGCGTCGTTTGGAGGGCGAAGGTGGTACTGGGGATCGGTTGGGGCGCTGTGTTTGTCGGAATACTCAGTAGGCTGCCCTGCCAATTCACGGACCAGCCGACCAACACATGCAATGTCCATGACCGTTGCGGAGGCGTTGCGCTTGCACGTCCAATGGTGCTCTACGCTGACCCATCCGAGCCACTCGAGGGTGGCACTCGAGCTTTTGCAGCGCTGAAGAGTGGCTGCATCGGGGTCTTGACCATGAATGGTTCCACCTGGTTTGCAGAGCTGCGAGAGCAGCTCAAAGTGCTGGGCATGTGGCGGCGCACCGTCATCTTCCAAAACAAGCGTGAGGCGTGCGGCTCCGCAACTGGCCTCTTCCGCGCGCACAAGACTGCATGGGCGCATGGTGTGCGGCGGGGCTGCCGACACATGCTTGTTATGGAGGATGACGCGCACTTCCACAGGGCCACCCTCAACGTGAGCGAGCCGCGGGTCGGTGCATTTCTACGAGCTGCTGGCGACGACGATGCAGACATCCTCTACCTCGGCTTTCACATCCCGGGACAGCCGCGTCAGCCCACCGAGCGCCTACATTGCATCTACCGGATTCACGCGCCCTCGCTCGCTCACGCTTACATCATCTCTGCCAATGCGATGCGGCGATTGGGCCAGTGGCCAGCGCAAGGCCATGTCGACCACTTCCTTGCCTATTCGCAGGCAGCTACATACGCAGTGAGGCCCCAGTTCGCCTTCCAACGATATCACCAAACAACTAACCCGTGGTACGGCTCGAACAATGCGAGCCTGCTCCTGCAGCATTCGCAGGCGCGCTGGCTGAGCAGCCCGGCACGAGTTCACGAGTGGGAGGAGACGAATCTTTACTCGCATGCGGGTCAAAACGAGTCCTCCTCGTGTTCGGGCGTGGAGGGGTAGGGGGCGCTCCTCCTGCGTCCTGGCCCCTCGCGCAAGCGTTGAGATAAAGCCGTACAGGGCCGGTGCTGTCGGGTGAGCTGTCGGGTGGTGAGCTGTCGGGGTGTGCTGTCTGCTGTCTGGCTCTGACACACACCAGCCACGTTTGTAATACCAGAACAGCAGCCATTGTGTACCGTGTGCGGCTCGAGCCTCGACCGTCGACGTCCAGATTCCTTGCTTCCAGCTGGCGAGGCCGAGGGGCCGCCCCACAAGAGACGCAAGAGGCCGAGGAGCATGCAGGAGCCAGGACCCAGGGACTTGCTCTGGGACTTGCAACTTGGACCCAGCTCGCACAGGCCCCAGGCGGGTGTGGCGCTGGCGGGGCCGCGCGGGACCACTCCGCACTTAGACTCGCGGGGGGCGGGCGCGCTTTTCAGATTCCAGATCCAGTTCGGGACGGGATCATTCTATCTAGACGACATTACGAGATCTGCGCTCGGTGTCACGACTCGAGACAGCGTTGGATGTACACGCATATACGAACAGAGCTCTTTCCTCTCGCGGGCGGCTCGCGCCAGGCACCAGGAGCAGGGCAGAGGGTGTCGCTCGAGTGCGCGAGCGATCACGGGCGCGAGGGCGGGCGGCAGAGGCCAGAGCTCCCCTCCGGGCGGCGTGCAGCTAGTCCCGAGCCCCAGCCGCCGTAAGGCTCCCCCCCCCTCCATGCATGCAGCCCGGCTCGCTGTGGGTTCCGGACCGGGGTGGGGCGGGGATCCCCTACCCCGAAGGTGGGCGAAACCCTGGCCTCAGTCGTCGCCAGCGGCGCCGCTCGGGTCGTAGGCCTCGACTCGGTCGTCTGCCTGCATCGTCTGGAAGCCCTCAAAGGCCGCCCGTCGCAACACGTAGACAGTGAACACTGGATACGTCCAGAGCGGCGTCCAACTTGGTAAAATTCGGTCCAGCTGATTAACCTTGGTAGGTGGACAAAAGTATGCGTTTTCCGGCCTCCCCTCCCTAACATTAGCCGGCCAAAATGTGCTCCTACCGGCTAATATTAGGGAGGGGGGGGCGGTCGGGTGTCAGACCTAGCGCTAGGCGTGCGAGGCTGACGTATTTTGGACAATCCACCTACCAGGGTTAAGGTCCGACAGGTTCGGCACCGGGCACAGCCTCGGTATACAAAATTTGCCTGCGGGCCGACCTTCACAGATCACCAGATCAGTAGTACACAGATCCACACTTGCCGACTATAGCCGCGCTCCATCGCACGGTTGACTTTACGGTTGAGCCTTGATGTGAGAGACGCTCACTGCGGAGAGAGAGGACGGGTGCAGGCCGGCATATAAAGGGTGCACGGACGGAGCTAAGTGCCTCGCCGTCCTCGCGGGAGTCGCTTAGGCGGCTCCCGTGGTGTACCTGTGTTAGTGCCAGTGCGCGTCAGTCCCGTGCCCAGTGTTGTACGAGGTGGGTGTAAAATTCTTTTTTCGAAGCGACCCGGGCCGCCCTCTCGCTGTTGAGAGGAGGGCGCCTGGGTCTAAATTTAGTGCGGTGTGAAGTGTTTATGTACTGCATCTTTAGTGCACTTTAGCGCAAATTTAGCGCGAATTCAGCGCAAATTTAGCGCGAGTTCACTGCGACTTTACATCCAGATTTAGCGAGGTTTAGTGCGTCTTTAGTCCAGCCGCGCAGTAGGATCCAGCCGCAGCCCCTCGCTGGGCCTCCCTCCCCCTGTCCCCCTGCAGTCCCCTGCCCACTCGCAAAAGTTCCCCGTCCCGTCCCTAACCGAACGAAGGTTGTTCAGCTGAACATCAACCTCCGGTGCTTTCCGGGCTGCTTCTCCGGGCTTACCATTTCGAAAGATCAGCAGACTTGGCTTGACAATAACTATCCGGCTCTTGTGGCGAGGGACGTGCACGCACTAGAGAGGGAGAAGGCAACACGGGACGAGGCCAGGGCCAAGCAAGCCACAGCGCGGCAGGATGGACCGATTCAAAAGATGCAGAAGGGAGATTTATATAAGAAAATCAAGGAGGTCTTCTTTGAGCTGTTGCCATTGCACTTAGGAGGAGGTGCATGGCTGGGGCTGGATCCAACATGCTTGTACGAGTACACGCGTATGTAAAGCTGCTTGCGGTGACTACATGGATCATGGCCATTTGGCCGTTTCTGTCATCGTGGTCTGGATCCTTCATCCTTTGGTTCAACATTGGCTTTGAAATTCCAAGACCGACCCTCGCCTCTACTCTATTACAGCTGGTGGTCACGGGCACAGCATGGGTTGTGCGGTCGGAGGTGGTGCTTGCGGTGGCGCATTCAACTGTGCTGGTCCTCCTCTCGGGAATCGGTGCTGTGCCTGTGCTCAGTTGGGAGATCTTGCTCTGGAGGGCTGCATATCTAGCCTCACTGGGAGCCTGCCTTTGGGTCGTGAGGGCAGGGGCCAGGCATCTCCTGTGGTGCATTCTTGGCAGCCAAGGAGCAAAGCACGCGGCCCTGGCTAGCTGTGGTTCTCGAGGTTCTCGAGGTGGATATCCTTTGGCCGCGTTGGGTAGCGAGGATTGGTGTAACCCGAGCCACGGAGGCGTGTTTTCTGGCGGCCGACCGTCAGTGCACGGAGTTGCCCCTTCTCCGACTGCCCCGGCTAGTTCCCGAGTTTCGCGGGAGTGACCCCATGCGTCAAACCCGAGACCTAGCGCGGGTGGGTTGGAGGGGGCTCGCCCCGTTCCTCCCCATCGGGCCGCATGAGCGGCCACGCCTCGCAGATTCGTTTTCGCGCCTGGGTCAGGCGCGCGGGGCATCCCCCGGGTCGCTCGACCAGCGATCCGAAGAGTGGCCGCTATGCGAGGGAAAGAGCGGGGCCCTCGGGGTACGCCTCGCCCGGCCCCCTCCGAGGGGGGAAGGGAATTGCGGGGTCCCCTCGGGCGCCTCAGTTCGGCCCTCCCGAGGGGGGGGAGGGGAGCAAGGGGGTGGGGGGATCGGGGCGGTGGGGAGGGGTCTCGGGTTTCATGTGGCTAAGACTTGCCTTTCGGGGAGGGGCCTCGGGACGGCGAGCGCAGTGGCGCCCGCTCGACTTCTTCCCCTCCTCCCCCGAGGCAGCGAGTAGGCAGCGAGAGGAGGTCTCGAGCGCCTATATGGAGGTATGTGAGATGGTGATGGGAATGGGTGGTCGGGCGGGCGGGCGGGCGGGCGGGCGGGCGGGCGGGCGGGCAAGCAAGCGGGGAGCGGCGGGCGGGCGGGGCGGAGCGGGCGGGCAGGGTTATCGGGGGAATCGGGGAATCGTGTCCACAATCAGCGGCAGCGGAGCAGCAGCCGCAGCAGCAGCTGCTGCAGCAGCAAGCAGCAGCCAGATTGCTGCCGTTGTCTGCGCCGCGATCCGCCGCCGCGCCGCCGCGCCGCCGCCGCCTGCGCTCGCCGCCGCCTCGTAGACGACTCCTCTCGCGCTCGGAGAGCCACGCAGCGGGCCGCGAGGTTGTGGTCAGAGAGCAGCAGGGTTGAGATCCACAAAATCGGCCAAATTTGAGGTTGCTCGAGAGAGCCTGGAAATGGTCCCGCGCCGTTGCCCCGGTGCCGGCGCATCACGTCTCAGCCGCGATGGGCCGGTTCCGCC